AAGAGGCGGATGAGAAGTTTGAAGGCCAAAGGAAGTAGAAGGAAGAATAGATTGATTGGAGTAAACAAAAAGTGAAGAAGGTGATGTAGAACAGTGGGGTATGGGACTATGATTTGAAGATTTTGTTGAAAAGGGAAAATTCTCCTCATCAAACCGAAGATGACGACTGATAAAAACACGATCACTTGACCGATCAAGGTAACGATATCCTTTGTGATTTGACGCGTACTCAAGAAATACACATGGCACAGAATGAGGTGCCAGCTTATGAGAGACACGAGACGGAAGAAAAGGATAACAAGCACACCCAAAAACCCGAAAGAACGAGTAATCAAACTTGAACCCAAATAAACAGTGGAAAGGAGAAATATTAGATATGACATGAGTGGGAAGTCGATTAATGGTGTAAACAGCAGTGAGAAGAGCATCGACCCAATCGACCCAATATGAAGAAGGCATATGAGCATGGATTAATAAGGTTCGAGACATTTCAACTAAGTGTCTGATTTTGCGTTCGGATACACCATTTTGAGATGGGGTTTGTGGACAAGAAAAACGTTGAATAATACCATTTTCACGTAAGTATGTTTGAAACGCATTACTGGTATATTCACCTCCCCCATCAGTTTGTAAAAATTTAATTTTGGCATTGCACAGATTTTCGATAAAACAACGAAAGCGATGAAAGTGTGTAGGCACTTCAGATTTATTTTTCATGGGAAATGCCCAAGTGAACCGAGAATAATCATCAATGAATAACACAAAATATTTGAAACCAGAATTAGAGAAAATTGGACTCGTCCATACATCAGAATGAATTACAACTAAAGGAAACGATGCACGATGACTAACAGACTCAAAAGGCAATCGATGAGACTTGCCTACAAGACAGGACTCACATGATATCAACTTAGAACTAGAATTGCAAACACGACTCAAAACTTGTTTATTTGGATGGCCAAGACGAGCATGCCAGCGAGTGAATGAAGCAGAGGAAGCCACGATAGGATGCGACTGAGATGACACCATTGAGTTGGAAATCGGATAAAGATCATGAGAAGAATCAGCTTGGAGGAGAACTTTTCCGGTTTGTTTGTCCTTCAAAGAAAAGGATGAACCATTAAAATCAATGGCACAAGAATTTTTATGGCAAAGTTGAGCAACGGATAGAAGATTGCGAGCAAGATTAGGAACATGATAGACGGGAGACAATAATAAAGATCGAGAACCAGTATGTAAAAAGGCTTTACCAACTTGCTTAACAGGCAATAAACGACCATCACCAACCAAGACTTTTGTCAAATCGTAAAAAGGTCTAGGATTTAGGATGTTACCAATATCACTAGTCATGTGTGCCGACGCTCCACTGTCAAGATACCAAGATGAATCAGAGGTCTCACCAACCGAGAGAGCTGAGAACGAGTCCGACAGATCAGTAGTGGTAAAAGCATGGTTGAATCGTTGTCGACATTGTAGTGCGGTATGCCCGGCTCCATTACATATCTGATAAGTAAGATGAGGCCTAGATCCGAGAATACCTCCCCGTGTAAAAGGGGGAACATAGGGCTTCGAACCACCACGAGACCGACCAGAGGAGGTGGATGAGGCATAGGGAGCCGATAATGATTGCGAACCGAACCGATCATAGGAAGATTGCCAATTCGATTTATCACGCGAGAATCGTCCACCTTGTCCCCGACCAGATCTACGACCTCTAGAATTACGTCCACCTCGAGATCCTCGAAACGGTGGACTGGGTGAAGTGGTGTGACCAATCAAAGCATGATGAATATCAGATGAAGATGATGCACTGGATTTTCGAAGAAATCGTTCTTCTTGGATGAGGACACGTGACCGCAGATCACCAAAGGAGAGAATTGTAGGGCCGTTTGTGACCATAGTCACAAAAGGATCATACTCAGATGAGAGCCCATTGAGGGCTTGAATCACCAAGTCCTTGTCAGAGACGGAGCAATTGATTGCGGTGAAAGAGTCCGCAATTGACTTCAGAGGCTGGAGATAATCAGACATTGACTGATCGGGTTTCTTCACAGTATTCTGAAAATCCAATTTTAGTCCAATTTCCTTGGCCGCGCAGCGATCAGTAAAACGTTGTCCTAGAGCAAGCCAAATCTCCCGAGATGTCCGAAGGTCGTGAACTTCACGGAAAATTTCGACTGTGAGGGTCGAATTGATCAAACTACGAACACATTGATATGTCTTCACCCAGGTGGAATAGGAAGTATTGACCACTACAGTGCCAGTCTTATCATTGATAAGCTTCGGCGGACATGGAAAAGAACCATCCACATAGCCCAGCAGATCGTTACAGATTAAAATAGATTCAAACTGAGATTTCCACAAAAGATAATTGTCTACATCGAGTTTGATGGAGATGAGACTTGTGATGTTGGGAAGAACAAGCGACGGCGAGGATGATTGCACAGCCGTAATTTGAGTAGCAGCAGAGATCAGAGTAGCAGTGAAGAGTGAAGAAGAGGGGAAAGTGGGCGCAATAGTATCGGGAGGCGATGGGAAATTGGGATTAACAAAAAAAGAAGGTGGGTAAAGAGATGGTAGAGAAGAAGAAAAATTTAGAGATGTATTGGACATTGTTGAGATAGTAATTGGAGCAAAGGACGTGTTGATTTGGGGTAGAGATGTTGAAGAATTCGATTCGTTTTCCTGCTCTGATACCATGTTGATGTTTAGAGTCAGAGAGAAAATAACGACAAAGTGTTTATGGTGGCTCAACCCTAATTAGGGTTGTATGATATGTATTTATAGGAGTGACTAATTACAGAAAGGGTACAGATATAAATATAATTACATAAATACCCCATAATACATATAATTATACATTAATAAATATGGGCTTTATTTGCAGATATAAAAGGTCATACCGTAATATGGTCCTGATCAGACAACGGCGTCAACATATCTCGATGGTTGAAGCGTTTTGCAACAAACTCAGTAACAAGAATTGGTTCATAGAAAGCTCTAGCCGACACGTCTACAGCTCGAGAAAATTGCATAAAGTGAATTGGTACCATTCAGACTCATATGCAAGATTGGCCGATATACACAAGCAAAGACAACTGGCTGCTCAAGCGAAGTACTAATATTGAGTGAGAGCCCAGACTGTGTAGGTTTTAGAGACAGGTAGTATCCTCTCCAGTATTCTAAACCGTCACCGAGTTCACCTTTAAGCCCCAAATCAGGTGAGAAAAATGATCGCCCAACAACAGTATACTTATGGTGATGAATTCAGCAAGTCAAGAAATGGATTGACAGAGGAAGCAAAAGCGCACAGTACGCACAAGCTGTTAGATGTATGCCCTAAAGTTACCATGTAATAGTTACATGTTAGGGATTTAAGTTGTTCTTTCAGTTACATTATTTATTTAATGGCAAGGACGCATTCATTCATTTGTCCAATTATTTAAATATATGAATGATTCCATAAGATCAGTTGTGACTGGACCTATTATTGAGACGTTAAGAATATGTGTGACAGGTTCACAGTTAGACTGAATCTTTAAATTGTTCTCGGTTGATGGATCATTGAGTGGATATTAATGATCCTGTTGAGACCGGTGTGTTCGTAACTTCACTAATAAGTATTGGATACTTAAAGGAATGACGAGTCACGAGTCATTGGATATTGCGATACCCGAGTTAGAACACAGGTGCTTGTATCAGACAAGTTCACTGAACATGACATGCATAGAACGATTAGCAACATGAAAACTTTTAGCGTGGTCAATGTCTAATCGTTCGTGCTCCGGTCTTGTGTAAATAATCCTTAAACCTGAGGTACAGTGTTGACTTGTATGTTGGATGGCTATGGTTCACAGGTGCGCATATTGCCGCTTCGTTGATTCGTCTCTGTACTTAATGGCCATAGTTCGTTCACATACGAAATTACACGTGTGCGCAAAATGGAATCTGTCTCCTTGTTATATGCAAGGTACAATAATGATGTCCTATGCAATCTAATCTTGACACTGCATTGAAATCCTTGGCCGGGGTTGTAACCGAGAATGAACTGTTCATGTCTCATATAAAGTGCATGTCAATTAGATTTGTGCATATGATCGAATTGGTGACTTGACAAATATTCCATGGTCTTTATTCGATCAGGACATAGTATGGCAGAGGGATTGAATTACACTGTAACCAAAGCTGACAGGTTCATTATGTTCTTAAAACATTCACACTGTCTGGGTAGCCATAACATATTGCTAGATGTCAATCATGGCTTGTAGGACCTAGAGGTTGATCGGGACAATCAATTCTCTTGGGAGTACTAATGTGTTAGTGCAAGTCTTACTACCAGCTCAGTGATGAACCTAGGGATGTCACACACCATAACCAATTTTGGATGACGTAGTACGGAAGAGACGATATTGCAAATATGTTTGTAATCGAATTGAGTCGGACTCAAATTAAATTAAATGGGATTTAATTTAATTCAATTTTTGTCATGGGCGTGTGTGCATATGATGCTCACAAAATACACATATGCTGATCATGCACTTCTATATTTGTATATACATGTTTATATTTATTTATATAAAAAAAAATTTGTCGCATGCACGTGGCCAGCAAGCGCTGACCATGTGCATGGCACACGGTCAACAAAGGGTTGCTGATCGTGTGCATGACTGAAATATTGAGAGTGCGAAGAATTGTTGCAACAAGATTGCTAGCACAATTTTATTGGTGATTATCTGCAAGTTCTTCCTTACGTTCGTCGTGCGATTGGTGGTGTGTCTGAACTAGAGGTCCGACGGCTGTGGGGCTCGAACTGAAGAACATTCGAACCGAAATCGTTTTGGGCACGCTACGAGAGGTAATCCGTTTAACCCTCTATGGTCTTTCGATTTTTGATTGAAACGCACGAATAACGCCTTTGGAGATACATGTATGGTTATATTTTTCCGCTGCGTTTATATTTAATTTTAACTATGCATGTTACGAAAGAAAACCAACACAAGCTACCCCGAAAGAAGGTAGTGTATACGAATTGCCTGCGAAATTACTTTTCAGACGGAGAGGCTCTAAGGATCGCACCAAGAACTTGCATTATCTCTTGCGGGCAATCCAATTGTCTACCCTGAATAAACTGCTGAAGATGATCAAGATCAATCCTAGCGACCAACGATATAGTCACCTTGAATTCACGTTCCTTCCTGCATGATGCCTCCAAATTAAAAACTAAAGAGTGGTCAAATGCTTATTTAGTGCCAAAACAATACGGAAGATTCACCTTCTCGATTGAGAAGAACTACCGGCTGCTTCGTCATTTTCTACCAATTTAACAGGAAACACCTTGTTGTTGAAGGGGAGTGGTCCTGCTGTGTAGAGACTCTTTCTACCGTCGTAGGCCGGCCTCCTCCTACCCAAATGAGACTCCCAGTATTGTTTGACAAGAACACCTAATATCTCCCTACTGGTTTTCTTGTTATGAACCACGGGATCAATAGATACCTAAGATAGCAATGTCAAGCTATTAAGATATCAGTAATATTAGTAAGCTAAAAAATCATGACTCGAGAAGAATAATATAATATAAAAACTGATGAGAAACAAAAACGAGGACTATTTCATCAATCAGACGAAAACAACACGAACCGCATGAAACACCACAAGCCTATCTAAATAAAATACAGAAAGGGTGCACAATAGACAAACAGTGAAGGGGAAAGTACATTGCTGTGAGAGATTAAAGTGCTAACCAGAAGGAAGTTAAATATTAATGAGGAGAAGGGAATCCATTCCTACCACAGAACGCGGGCAGAAGCATTGCAGAACTTTGATAACCAAACACTGCTCAGGAAACATAATCAACAACCTAGGAGGTCCTAGCTCAAAAAATCTAGTAGAAATATGAAAAAACAATTCATCATCAAGAAGGAGATGCAGTGTCAAAAGAGATTGTTATAAAATAAGGCTCTATTTGTTTCGTGAAAAATAAATAATTTGAAAAATATTTTTCGAAAAATTATTGCTTATATTACTTAGAATAACTAGTTAATAAAAAATATTTTCATTATTAATAACAATTTATGTTTAAATATTTTCGTGAACGATGAAAATACTCGCCCTTCATGTAATCTTGTAAACAATACAAGCCATATTTTTAAGAAAATAGACCGCTAAACTTTGGGGAGATGACTAACAAAGACCAAAAATCAAACTCATTCGCACAGATGAGCGGTAATGCCAGGACAAGAAAAGGAAAAATGAAAGACAGGTTGAACAAGTCGAAGTCGAGAACAAAGGGAAAAAATATCATGATAAGAGCTCAACTACGCAGATAAATCCATAAAAGAGGGAGCCAAGCAATGAAAAGAGAGAATCTAGCGAGCGAACTAAAGCAAGACACCATTCAGTGTTGAAAAAGAACAAGCGGCAAGTATGGTTCAATAACCTCTAAAGAGAGCAAAAAGTAGAAGAGGACACACACAAAAAATTGCTGCTGAAAAACTCTCGTACTATTACTCAACAGATCACAAGCCTATTGAATAGGCATAACATTGAAAACTACTCAGCAAGAAAATAACAACAGGATAACAATAACAAAGACCCACTAACATATCCCACTAACTAAAACGTGTAGAAACAAACCCCTACAAACTAGGACTCCACTACTACATTATTGAAGATATGTAAAACTGAAATTTGACCACTTCAAAAACTACTTCACGTGCTGGTGTTGTGTTTGTTCAATACTCCCCCTCAACACCAGCTTCTACTTTTTTCACCATACCGAGCTGATGATAGAAACTTTCGAACTTATTGCTACTCAAGCTTTTTGTAAACAAATCTGCAACTTGGTTTTCTGTTTTGACATGCTCCAACTCAATTTCTTCTTGCAAGACTTTCTCTCTAATAAAATGATGATGCACCTCCACATGCTTAGTTCTTGCGTGAAAAACTGGATTCTCCACCAAACGTATTGCCGACGAGTTGTCGCAGTACAAAGAGACACCATACTCTGTTGGTTGATGCAAGTCTTTCAATAACTGCTTAAGCCAAGTGCTTTCTTGAGCTGCCATCGCTGCTGCTCGGTATTCTGCTTCCGTGGTTGACAAAGACACCGTTGGTTGTCTTTTACTACACCAAGAAATTGCTCCGGACCCAAGCATGAAGACATACCAAGTAGTTGAACGCCGGGAATCATGGTCACCTGCATAGTCGGCATCACAGTAGCCAACTAGTCTACAATCTCCACCTTTCTTGTACATAATACCATAGCCAAGCGTACTCTTCACATATCTCAAGATTCGACGAACTGATTCCAAATGAGTCTTCTTTGGATTTTGCATGTAGCGACTCATCACACCAACTGCAAAAGAAACATCCGGTCTTGTTAAAGTTAAGTAGATAAGACTACCCACCAACTGCCGATACATGGTAGCATCTTCTAAATCTTTCCCTTCATGAGCACACATTTTGACGTTTGCCTCCATCGGTGTCGAGATTGGCTTGCATTTAAGCATTGCAAATTTCTTCAACAAGTCTTTTGAATACTTTTGCTGATGGAGAAATATTCCTTCTTGAGTGTAGTCGACCTCTAAACCAAGAAAATGTTTGAGCTGTCCAAGTTCTTTCATCTGAAAGCGAACTGACAAATTCTCCTTGGTTTGGAGAATTTCTTCTTCCCAATCTCCTGTGATGATTAAATCATCCACATACACCAGCAAAATAGCTAGCTTCCCTCCTTTAGCTTTGACAAACAAGCTAGAATCCGCACATGTCACCGAATAACCACTATGAGTAAGAAATTCAGCAATCTTACCATACCAAGCCCTCGGTGCTTGTTTTAGCCCATAGAGAGCCTTCCGGAGCTTACACACATACTCAGGATGATCTTGATTCTGAAAGCCCATTGGTTGGCTCATGTAGATCTCCCGATCTAGCTCCCCATGCAAAAATGCATTTTTCACGTCCATTTGCCACAAGTTCCAACTTTTGCTTGCTGCAAGTGCCAGTAGAACTCGTACAGTTGTAAACTTCGCAACTGGACTAAATGTTTCATCATAGTCTAGTCCATATTGTTGAGAGAACCCTCGAGCTACCAGACGAGCTTTGTACCTCTTTATTGATCCATCTGTGCGGCACTTTATCTTGTACACCCATTTGCAAGAAATAGGCTTCACATCTCTTGGCTTTGGTATGAGCTCCCAAGTCTGATTTCGCTCTAACGCAGCAATTTCCTCTTCCATAGCCTTAATCCATTCCGAACTCTGAGACGCTTCCTCAAATGTCTCAGGCTCTTTTGCATCTGCCTCTTCTACTATGGCGGCATTAGCATACTTAGGATTTGGCTTTCGGGCCCTTGTTGACCTTCTAAGTGCAGTTGGTGTACTTGATCCACTTGGCTCATCTTCTTCGCTTGGTCTTTGGTATACACCTGTTTGCCAAGGATTTTGAGCTATGCCTTCTTCAACATTTACATCGTCGTCTGCAACCTCTATTTCACTTGAACTCAACTGGAATTGAGAAATTTCTAACATTTCCTTAAAAACATCCGAGTCCGGTAGTACTTCCTTGTTCGAGGACCACCATGAGGAAGCTTCATCAAACACCACATTCCGAGATGTGTAGCATTTCCCGGTTGTTGGATCGCAACATCGCCACCCTTTTCTTTGACTGTCGTATCCTACAAAGATACACCTAACAGCCTTTTTCTCCATCTTGCTACGTAACTGGTCAGGTACAAATACATAGCACACGCATCCAAAAACTCGAAAATGACCAACAGCAGGCTTCGTGTTCCATATTTTTTCAAAGGGTGAACGAAAGCATAACCTTTGTTGAGGAAGCCTATTGGTCACGAAGGCCGCAGTCTTCATAGCTTCCGCCCAAAACCGTCCCGGAACATTCTTTGAATGAAGCATACTTCGACATACTTCTGCCAGATGCCTGTTTTTCCTTTCTGACACCCCGTTTTGCTGCGGAGTGCTAGCACATGTGAACTGATGGCGTATTCTGCACTCCTGAAGGAAATCTGTGAACTCATTTGAGATGTACTCTCCCCCATTGTCGGTGCGTAGACAACGGACTCTTTTACCAACCTCCGCTTCCGCTACCTTCTTGAACTCTATGAATTTTGAAAGAGTTTCAGATTTTTCCTTCATAAAGTAAACCCACACGTACCTCGAGAAGTCATCAATGAAGGTCACCATATACTTCATCCCACCAACGGAGGCTTGCTTAATTGGTCCAAACACATCATAGTGTATTAACTCTAATGGTTCTTTCGCTTTAAATTTAGACTCTTCATACTGCAACTGGTGCGCTTTTCCATACTGACAGCCTGTATATACAGTGTCTGTTCTCACTTCAAGTTGTGGAAGTCCCTTCAACATCGACTTCTTCATCATCACATCTAGCTTGGAATAGCTAACGTGACTTAGTCGCATGTGCCATAAGTTTGTCGTCTCATTCCTTCTCGTCTTGTCTACATATGCGGTTTCCGCAGACATTACGTAGACGGACTCCATTCTTCGTCCCTTCATTGCGGCTCTTCGTAATCTCAAGGTCTCGATATATCTTCACATCTTGTGGACCAAACAGAACAAAATGGCCAGAAGATGTTAATTGTGCTACCGAGAGAAGATTTTTTCTCATACCTGGAACATGATAGACGTTTTGGAGTGGCACCTCGGCATCGCTACATTGGGGAGAGACGGTCGTATTACCGATGTGGGCTATCGGTAACTTTGAGTTATTCGCCGTCACCACCACCCGACTTCCCTTGTACTCCGACAAGTTCTGCAACTTTTCTTTATCGCCGGTCATATGGTTTGAGCAGCCCGAGTCAACAATCCAATCATTCTCATAATCGATTTGATTGAATGTTGTTGCAGTAAGGGCTAGCTCCTCCTTATCTACAGCAAAGAAAGCCTCAGCATCCCATTCGTCTTCGTTTTTTGAAGTAGCAGCGTTACTCTCGATGGCCTTCTTTTTTGACCAGCAATCTTTCGCCATATGACCTTTTTTATTGCAGTTGTAGCACTTCCCTTCAAACTTTTGGCCATTGCCGTGGTTCTTAGAACCTTTCCATGCACGAACGCTCCCTTCATCTTGATGACTTCTCGCCTTGTCATCGTTCTTTTTGGATCCACCGTGGGCATGCCGCTTGAAATTCCACTTGCCTTTGTTGGCATAGAGTGCCTCTTCTCCATTCTTCAATGAGACTCCTCCCATTTGCTTGGCTAATGCTTCTTGACCAGCTAGCAAATTTTCGAATTCGACAAGCGACGATTTGAGTTTGCCATCCTTGTATGGCAGCAACAAAACTCCTGAATTCTGGCTTCAAGCCATGGATGATGATCCGCTTCATCCTGGTATCGCCAATCGGAGCCTCCGGATCCAATTCAGTAATCTCTCGGCATAACGTCTTCACTTTGTGGAAGTACTGAGTGACCGTCATGTCGCGTTGCGCCATCGACAACAACTCACTTTCTAAGAGTTGGAGCTTCGTATCGTTCTTCTTAGAGAACAGCTTGGCGAACGTATCCCAAGCTTCTTTGGGAGTTTCCGCATCTCGGATATGCTCCGGCACATCCTCTTCAACTGTCGTCTTCAAAACGAACATGGCTTTACCTGCTTTAATCTTCCACTTCCGCAATGTCCCATTCGCATCTTCAGCCTCCGGTTGTCTCACATCGTTTCCATTGACAACCTCCCACAAATCTTGGCCCTGCATATAAGACATCATGCAGGTAGACCAAGAATTGTAGTTTTGGTTGCTGAGCTTCTTGATTCCGCCAACGACTTGAAGATCACCCATCTTGGCAATAGAGATGCTCACGAAATACCCAGAACCTGGCTCTGATACCAGATTGTTGAAAAAGAACAAGCGGCAAGTATGGTTCAATAACCTCTAAAGAGAGCAAAAAGTAAAAGAGGACACACACAAAAAATTGCTGCTGAAAAACTCTCGTACTATTACTCAACAGATCACGAGCCTATTGAATAGGCATGACATTGAAAACTACTCAGCAAGAAAATAACAACAGGATAACAATAACAAAGACCCACTAACATATCCCACTAACTAAAACGTGTAGAAACAAACCCCTACAAACTAGGACTCCACTACTACATTATTGAAGACATGTAAAACTGAAATTTGACTACTTCAAAAACTACTTCACGTGCTGGTGTTGTGTTTGTTCAATATTCAGCATAACCCACACACACATACACACTGTTATGACCAAAACCGGATATGAGCAAAGATGAAAAAAAAATTCAGTTAAAAAATGGAGGAGACGCATTACGTCATGGTGGTGAAAATCCTTGTCCTCTACTTCAACTATAAAATGATTCGCTCGGACCAAGCACCTTTTCCCGACCGTTCCCAAAGGTCTCGGCGGAAATCTAATCGCGGAGGCGTAGCCTCTGCCTCTGCCTCTGCCGCCACCTCTTCCGCGCTGAAACGACGGGACCAGTTGCTCGTGGCTCGAGTCCGATCGCCTGCCTCCTGCGCGGCGACCACCAAGGCGTGACATTGAGGAAAATCAAGAGAGATCGCGATTCGAGAGAGGGGAATCCAATTGAAGAGCGAAGCGACCGTGCGAGACCGAGACCGAAAGCAATGCGTGTACGAGAGATGCAACTAGGAAAAAGAGAGCGCCTGAGTAGAGACGTATAAAAGGGAAAGAAATTGAGAGAGCGAAATGGACCACGTGGTGGGTCGTGTGGAGTTGTGCCGTGCGAGGTCTTTTTTGTTGGGATTTAGATCCCTTTTGTTAGCAGATGCTGTTCTGGTTTCAAAAGGGACTTGTGTAACTGTTGTTACGTCCGAACATACCAAACCTCCACCGCAAGTAATTAATCAATAATGTCTCTATGCTGCCTGTACGTGGGTTTTACTAGCCCGAATTAGTCCAATCGCGTTCTCCTGCGCTAATTCGACGCAGGTGAAGTTGGACCGAGTCGATACGAAGAAATCGCAACTATTGTTACAAGCATCTTCACCCTTGTCGTGACATAGGGATGTCCATTTGTGTTTTTTAAGGCGAAGACGTCGATTACATTCCTATCCAAAGGGAAGCTCGATAGACCGTCCTCGCCGCCCTCCTCAACCCCACCACAATGCCAATGACACCGAAATCGAAATGAAATTTGATGCACTTATTTCAATCATACGAAGCATCCAAAGATATGCAATTCGTCGTCAACTCCACATTTTGTGAAGCAAAAGGATCCATTCATACCTTCATTTCCACTTAGGAACATGATCGACTGCATACGTACAATTCTTGGACGTGCAGCTTTCTTCTGGCACCATCAAGCAAACCTCATCGAGAGAAGGCAAAATACAAATGAGTTCAAAGAACTTTGTTCTCACGTCGGGGCGCATGTAGATCGGGTGAAGTGAGCCAAGTGCCAAAGTGCATTGGGGTTCGGCCCTGTTCAGCCATGAGCCAAACCCAAAAGCTTCATGACGGACGCCAATCCAATTGAATAGCAAGTCCCAGGTCTAATTGGTTTCGGTCGCGGCCCAGAATCCAAGCCCATCACCTGAAGTGCTTTGCGCCCACTTGATCCTCCTTCAACAGTGCCGATCACCGGCGATGACGCCTCCGGGACCTCACCTTCAAGCCGTAATCTCTTCTTGGGCGGCAGATTTGGCATTCTTCTCGTCATGGTAGAGTTCCAGTGACAATACAGATCAAAATGAACAGAGAGAGCTTCATCGCTTGATTCGGGAAGAACAGCTGTGATCGAAGCTTGATCGAGGTCGGATTCTTCATTTCTTTCGATCGTCACGATGAAAGGGAAGCTAAAAGTTCTCTTTCTTTCTCTGGTTTCCGATTTCAATCAATCGATAGTGCGGGTTCTCGTATTGCCAGTGCTCACCTAGGTCAACTCAGTCTATCCAGAACTATCGTCGTCGTCGCTTCCCGCCGTTCATTTGGGAGGCTTCGATGCGGCAAACATTCTTCATAGAGTCAAGCACATTGCGACACTTTCGTTGATTTTTTTTTTTTCGATAAATGAGAATTTCATATTGAGTCAAGGGCAAAATAGGAGAGCGAATCCTAGCACATGCTCAGGAACATTTTTCTATTATTCTGAAACTTTTTCAAACATCAAAACGGCCCGACCAAATGAAAGACTTTCACACCGAGCGCCAGAACCTTCTTGGGAAAAAGCCACGCGATTCGTCTATGACGGACTTGTGTTGGCCCAGCTGTAGTTCTGGCGTTTCGAATTATGACAATTCTTGATTTTGTGGAAAATCAAATTTATTTTGTCAAATAAAAAAATTGTTGCTCTGGAATAAGTTGGGTTCCTTGGAGCAGTTAAGTTAGATGTAACACTAACCCATTCATGTATTGTTCAGTGTACATCTACAATGTGGCAATTCAATTCGGTGATTTTAAGAAATGATTCATATGCAATTTTTCAGCTTTTTCATAGAAAAAAATGCGGGTAAAAGAGTGCTTTCACGATATTTGTCGAGCATAGCCGATAAAAAGCGCTTGAATTTTCACAACATTAAGTACAAACAACATAAGAAAAATAATGCACTCACGACGGTAAATTTTCATTGCTTAACAAGTACGAGATTTTTAGAACGGTACAGCATCATGGCTAACATCTAATTTAAGATACAACGCGAAAGTTCCTATCAAAATTTAAAATATCATTAACATTTTAAAATACGAAAATACTATACGTTTAATAAACGTTTCAACATATATCCTTCGTGAAAATTTTTAGTGTCTCATCTCAAAAGGGGTAAAAAAAAAGGTGAAAATACGCTAGTGGTAAAATTTTTAACTAAGTAAAAGGTTAAAAATGAAAAATCAATCCCGATACGTCACAAAAAATTGTTTCTATGAACGAGTCATCTCTCACTTTTTGTCTCTTTAAAGGGTTTTTTCCCGAAAAAGGGCCACAATTTTTGGCTGTCGGCAAATTTATTCTCAATTTTCAAGTATTTCACAAGTGGCTTTAACTTTTACTCTCGAGGCAAATTTGTCCTCAATTATCAAATGTCTCGTAAAAAGGCCACAACTTTCATGCGAGAGACAAATATGGCCACCGTTAGACTTTACTTAAATGGTCTCCGATCTTATAAATAGAGAACGATATGGTCAACACGGCAAAAACCCCAAACAAAAACAATGCCATCCCCTCTTCTAATGAAAACAACATCGTCAAGTTAGGGCTTCAAAATCAAATATAAAGGGAAAGAAGCTTGATCTGGGGCTTTAGGATTAGGGCTCTTGAGAGCCAGATACCGGTTCGTCCACGGGAGAATGTTAGGGTTTCAATTTGGGGCTTGATTCCATTAGATTGAGAGAGAGAGAGAGAGAGGCACTCAAATTGAGGGATTTGGGCGAAATTGAACTTACTTACTCACTCGTCAAAATCAAAACTAAGATGCGAAAAGGGGAAATGTGTGATTTGTTCAACTAATAAATCGAGTCGACGGCGTTGACTGAACTGGGCTGCATTGCTCTGTTTTTAGTTCAAGAACCTAAGCCCCAGATCGAGATCAAATGCCCTAATCCCGCTCCCTCTTCCTCTCCTCTCCTCGATCTGATTTCACGAAGCCCTAGCTCGAACAATATGTTTTTGATTAAAATGAGGGGCACGGCCTTGTTTAAATCTAGTAAATCTAAGCTAAGTTGATGTTGCGGCAGTCGCCTTTCCTCCATTCGACCGATCAGGCGCCATAGAAGCAAAAGTCTACCCGAAAATCTACTGGTGGCCAGATTTATCCCACAGGAGAAAGTCCGAAAGGATTTTTTTTTCACGAGATATTCCAAAGTTGGAAAACAAAATTTTTTCAAAAAAGCTGGGGGGGTTGACTTTATAAGACCCTAGAATATTAAAATGATGCAAATGATTTAACGTGATCTTTGAACTTTTAATTCGTTCAATGTGGTTCCTGAACTTTAGCCCAATGCGCAATATCATCCATAAACTTTAAATTTGTTCTCAATGTGATCCCTGAACTTTTGATACACGTTCAAACTAGTTCCTGGACAATATAAAAATATTGAATGTTAAAGGTCAAGGATCACATTATACATTATGCCGAAGTTTAGGGTCCACATTAAAAAATTAAAAATTCAAATATCACGTTATGCGTTCGATCAAAATTCAAGCATCATTTTTGTCATTATTCCCAAAATTAAAAAGATAGATTTTATGCCATGAATGAAGAGTGGGGCCCTTTCTTCTTTTATTTTTATTTCTTTCTTTTAACGAGGCGTGAAGACTCGGTTTTTGACTACTACTCCCACGGTCCCACCCTTCGAACTTCCACGCTATTCAATTCATTCGAGCTTTCATTTCCCTCCCTCTCCAGAACGGCGAAACACGGACGGGAGGGCATGGCCGCGTCCTCCGCCGGCGCGTGGGCCCTGATCGCACTCGCGGTGTTGCCGTCGGCGGCGGCGGCGGCGATCCCCGGCGGCTTCCCGGCGGCGCTGACTCTGGAGAGGGCCTTCCCGCCGGCTCATAGCGTCGGACTGGGCCGGCTCAGGGATCGCGACAGGGCGAGGCATCGGGGGATGCTGCGGACTTTCGATGGCGTCGTCGATTTTCCGGTCGGAGGCAACTCCGATCCTTCCCTCCTCGGGTACCGAATTCGATACCCTCAGCGTGCAATCACATTTTTCGAAGTTCCGCTTCGAAATCGCACGTCCTTTGCATGTCCGTTTACTAACTTCGAATGCAGCTTATGCTCCGTGTGGAGCTAAAATTTGTCGAGCTGGTGCTGATTAGAGAGGTTTTGGGTTCTTCGTTCCATTTGATTTGACCTCGTACGTGGTGCTGATTATGTTTAGATTGTGGCTTCTTCTCTGTAGGCTGTATTACGCGAGAATTCAATTAGGCACTCCTCCGAGGGAGTTCTATGTACAGATAGACACCGGAAGCGACCTCCTGTGGGTCAGTTGCAGCTCCTGTAATGGCTGCCCTCGAACGAATGCGCTCAATGTATATATTTTAGCGTTGCATGTGTATTAACCCTACACTTTCTAATGCTTATAGTTCTTAAAAAACTGAGTGAATGTCACTGGGTATGCTGCGACTCCCAATAGATGCCGCTCCATGTTTTCGATCCGGGGAGCTCGTCCTCAGCTTCAGCGATCTCTTGCTCGGATGAAAGATGCGGTCCGGGAGTTCAAACACCGGATTCTGTATGTCCCACTCAGAGCAATTTGTGTAGTTACTCGCTTGCGTATGAGGATGGTAGTAGGGCTTCCGGATATTACGTGACGGACTTGCTTACGTTCGACATGATAGAAGGGAGTACTGCTGTGAATTCATCAGCTGCTGTTATGTTTGGGTAAGCAAATCGTAAACATGTCAAAAGTAAGTTTGCCAATCCTTATTAATGAAACTGAAGGGGTTCTATTAATTTGATGGTGGATTGAGCAGGTGTAGCACTTCACAAACAGGGGACTTGCAAGAGTCAGAAAAGACAATTGACGGGATTTTTGGACTTGGGCAGCAGGAAACATCTGTTGTCTCTCAACTGGCTTTACTCGGAGTAGCTCCCCGAGCATTCTCACACTGCTTGAGAGGAGATGGTGATGGTGGGGGTACACTAGTTCTTGGTGAAATTCTGGATCCAAATGTTGTCTACACCCCACTCGTGCCTTCACAGTAAGTTTATGGTGAAAATGAAAGAATGTTGCGCATAGTTCTAAGAGTTTTAAATGAAGCTGATATACGTGTTATGTTTTCTCTTCTCTTTGGAAGGCTTGACTGTGTAGCTCTGCACGTTATAATCTGCATATGTTAGTGTGCCAGCTGGATGGGTCACAGCCTCCGAGATGTTGGAGCCTATGTTTCTGTGTTATTGTGATGTAATATGTTGTAAATTTGCCATCCTAACTAAGTTTTGCTTTAATTCTCATTCCAAGGATGAACTCAGTACGGCATTGATGAATGCTTCTATAATAGGAAAGCTCCTTTTGGATCCCTTTTGTACCATGTCAAAGTATTGTTGGTCTTAACCCTGTTCCTTAATCTGGAGATTTTTCTACTCGATGAAAATTTTGAGTGCTTCGACCTTCTAATACAACCACTAGTCAGTCTTATCCCACCTTCCAACTTCTTCTAATAGTACAAAAAATTTACAAATCATGTTGCCTCTATGTTCATTTTACTGGGCCGCTTGTCCAATTTGCAGGCCTTATTATAACTTGAATCTGCAAAGCATTTCCATGAATGGTCAACCTCTCTCCATTGATCCATCAGTATTTGCAACATTCAGTGATCGAGGAACCATAGTTGACACAGGAACAACTTTGGCATACCTTGTTGAGGAAGCTTATGATACACTCATCAATGCTGTAAGTTTTGGAAGAAAATACTATTGCTTGCACATGCTTAAAATGGGATGACTAGGTTAGAAAGTTAATTGTCCACCAGGAGTTAACAAAAGTTCCGAAGAAGTTGGACTAAGGTTGCAGGCCAAACACCATTTCTTTACCAGTTTGTTATTTGTTTCATACAGATTGCAAACAGTGTTTCTCAAACTGCACGCATGCTTATGAACGAGGGAAATCACTGTTTTTTGACTACCTCCGAGTCAGTCTTTCCTAAATGGTCTCTCCATTCATTTATATGAAGTCCCACTGGTTAAAAAAGCTACTACTGACAAAAGGCTTTTGCATGTGCAGTGTCGTTGACACATTCCCTCAAGTTAGTTTTGATTTTGAAGGCGGAGCCTCAATGATATTAAGCCCTCAGGAGTATCTTGTGCAGCAAAATTCTTTTGTAAGCGGTTAAAAATGATATGAAGTCATGGTTCTATCTATTTAGACTCTTCAAAACATTCATAATTTATTTCTTTTATTTTTTGGTCAAAATTCACGATTTATTTCAGTTGCTGACAATCTGCAACTTAAATTTGCTGGGATTTGACTAGTAATTGGATTGTGATTTGCAATAATTCAGTTTATGTTGCTTTATGTTGAGGACTGTGATTCTGGATTGTTGTTGCGTCAATAGGTTTCTTGTTCTTGTCTTGCTGCTGCTACACTATCAGATTCTTTTGGCTAGTCGAGTTCATAGTAGATTTCTCTGGAAGAAACTGTTGAATGCTGTCAATTAAAACTTACAAGTCTGTACATTTGCTTGTCTGTTCTCTTCCTGTGAAGCTGCATCTGATCTAGTCATAGGAGCTACTTAATTTTGCTCAGTGACATGGGCTGTTAGGTGGCTGACTTAGTATGCACTATGCTGACAGATGTTGTGAATATTGTCCTCACAGGATGGTGCTACATTCTGGTGTATGGGCTTGACAAAGGCTCAGGGCCAAGCTAGAACAATATTAGGAGGTGAGACCCTCTGGTGTATGTTTCATCCCTCTTGCCCCCCTTTTTCTGGCTTGAACACTCTTGTATAAGTTGAATTTAACTTTTTATTGCTCTCAACTCAAACAACTTGCATTTGCGCGTGTCCCAGCCTATGCCGTTTTTAATGTTTTTCAACAAATATTCTAATATCTTGTTATGTGATTCCCCCCTCACATGAATCAAAGGTGACCCAATCAGATGGATCAATTCATCCATATGAAGTTGACAGTTTCCTAAAGAATGATTATTGTGTTCCCCGTGCGTGCCTCAATAAGCTTGGCATTTTCAGTTTTTGCAACTTCCTATTAGTATAGCTCAGGGAAAAAGATTTATGAAGCATTACTCTTTCAGTTTGATTTTTGTTTATGCTTAGTGAATTGTGAGAACTGGAAACATTATAGACTGGTCTTTTCTATTTTAGGGCCAAAGCTAGTTCTCATTCTTTATTTTTGGGGGGACCTCAAGAAAAGACACTCTTTTGCGTTCTTCACATCATGTTTTGACGTAGTAAATGTGGATCAAGATGGATGTGCATACTTGGATTCTCTACCTCTAAAGCAATCGAGATTACTGCCTTATTCTACAGATATTGTTCTGAGAAACAAAATCGTCGTGTATGACCTGGCTGGTCAGCGGCTTGGATGGACTAACTACGACTGTAAGTTGCTTTCTCTTCGTCCCAAATTGAGACTGAGCAAGAATCTAATTAGGATGAGGTCGTCCATCATCTTTCTTCTCGCCAGCTGGGTTTTCACAAGTTGAACAAGTGATTCCATCCTTTCACCAAACAGTAAATTTTCCATCTTTTGCATGAATAATTCTTCCCAGGTTCCCTCTCGGTCAACGTCTCCACAACCACGACCAATGGCAAGGACCAAGGAGAGTACTTCCATGTGGGGCAAACGAGTCGTGGCAGTGGTTCGGACAGGGTTGCACCTTTTGAATTCATTCAATGGGGATTGAGAGTCTGTTTTATCACCGTATCCTTGCTCGGTAGTATTATTAGGCTTTGTTAGCATTTGCACTAGGAAAACATCCCTCGGTGTTCCTATGCACCTTTCCTTTCGGGTACGGAAACAGCCCTCTTGTTTCTCCGGTGCCACCATGCAGCCAACGGCAGGGGACACCTTCTTCCTGTATATTTATCTTTATTTTTCGCTCGAGAATTATTGTAATTTTTTCTCCTTTCAACTAGGCTTGTTAAATTAATGTTGATTATATCTAATGTGACTTTCGGGAAGCGTCGGCAATTGTACCGGATGCGAGGATTGGGCTTCTCAAACTAAAATGTTATCCGATTGCATCGATTGCATTCCCTATCTGGAAGGAAAGCTTAGTAGAGTTTTAAACATCATCTTTCTTCACCACCCTCAACCCCATAATGCCAATGACAACTAATTTGAAATCCAAACATATGGCACATCTTTCAAATCATAAAGTAAGAATGCCAGAGAGAATAACCAATTAATGAAATTTGTCATCAGTTCCACATGCCACGGAGCAAAAAGATCGATCGCCATTTCGATTTTCATTTAGAAACATCTCCGACTGCATATGTAAAAACTCTGTTCCACATGCAGCTTTCTTCTGCACAAACCAGTAAAACCTCATCGGGCGCATGTGAGGCACTTTCAATATCAAACATCCGCACCAAAAACGATAACCAAACATCAAGAGGTGTCCAACACAAAACCAGTCAATTGCCTAAGATGCCTCACCAGTCAACTGGGTCTAACGTTTTTTTTGGTAAGGAAACAAAAACCCAAAATGTATGTCTTGTGAAGTGAGCAAGTCAACACAAAACCAGTCAATTGCCTAAGATGTCTCCCCAGTCAACTGAGTCTAACGTTTGTTTTCACATGAACCAAAAACCCAAAATGTATGTCTTGTGAAGTGAGCAAGTGCCGAGTCTATTTCCAGTAAAATAGTAAGTCCCCTCCTTGGTGCCCAACGCATCAGCAATAGAACATCACATCTTTGACATTGTCTTTGATCAAAGGAAGTGCTCGGATCTCGACAGTAGTGCCCCTTCCTCCTACCGATGACCCAGTATCTGATCCGTCCCCCTCTATGTAATACCTCGCTCGAAACGCCGCTAAATGCGCATAATAAGCAGGAGGCACTGCAGAATGAACAAAATATCAGCGAAGAGTAAAAAATCCAACAGGGACTTTTTAAAGAAAAAAGGACAATGGTGAAAATAACTGATCTTGGCCTAACCTATAGAGACTGAGCGTGTGCATCGAGCATATCTGCAGAGTTCAAATATAACAACAAAGATATCATACCAAATAAACCTTTTCTCTAGGCAATGAGCGGAATCGATTAAATAGACAGCACAATAATTCTTACGTGTAACACAAATTGTTAGTGAGGGTTTGGAGAGCATCAGCATTGAACTTGTTCTCATCAAATAATACATGGTAGTGCGATGGCCTACTAGTACCCTACATCATATGAACGCATGTTTAGACACGGTATTTACATAACAAAAAGAAAGTTCAACGGTAACATATATTGGTGCATTTTGCCTAACATAAAGGAGATGGGTGTCACCTGAATTCCAGCATGGCTATTGAGGTAAAAATCGAATTCAGTAGGGTGGCAGATGCGAGTATCAACAACAGTACCTAATCAAACATAGCAATAATTTAAGTACTTGAAAAGCTGACTCACTTCAGTAAATTAACAAGAAAATCGAAGAGGTTATGGTACCAGGTAATATATTGCCGCTCCTGTCCATTGAATCGCGTCTGTTATAATTCTCAGGAAAGAGGCGCGTGTGGTGCCTCTTTTGCACCACAACGAAGGTAACTGGTGGTAGATAACCCTCTTCAAGTGAGGCACAAGCCTACGGTAATACCAACTCAAGTTATAACAGGAAAAATGACTCTTATATCTACTTAAAGAAAGATGATAGCAAATATTCTATGGACTGATTCCCCACTAAAGTACCTTGCGAATCGCATCCATTTCATAGAGAAGAACTTGAGAGAATTGACCTTCACTGACCCCATCCCTGCAGTGATAATCAAACTTTAATAGCAACGACAAAGCAAGCTATCTACTTTAGCACAACGATAAAGTACATCACCTGTAAAATATTATCCTATAAGGTTTTTGCCCAGTAGCTCTTCTGAAGGCAATAAGCAATTCCCTGCAAGAGAACGTGAAAGTGAGTTGGGGGAAAGCATAAACATAATATATTAATGATAGGCGCCACAGAAACAAACGGCATCCTACCTGATCATTCCTCCAGCTTTCCCCTCTGGAGTCTGTTTGGCTATGTACAAATCGTTAATGATTTCTTGTCTGTGAGTCTGTGCAGACACAAGGCCTCTATATTTCGTCACCTCTGGCCAGTCCATGGAAGCTACCACCTGGTCATATCAATACCATTAATTGTTTATACACTTCAAAATAAAAAATGACAACAGAATAGGGAAAAAGGCATACCGCTGCTATGGAAGGATTAGTATCATCTCCAGGTTGTGGGTGTGTTACGTCTGCCCCAAAGATAATGGTTGGCATATCAGTGACGAGAGGGATTCTTCTCAGGATGGCGTCATTCAGAACCGTATTCCTTCCACCGACCTAAGACCATCAAGCAGAATGATCAATAATCATAATCAAAGAAATAGAAAATTCATGCAGAAAAGAACCTTCCAACCTTGACATTAATTTTCAGTGCAAGATTTTCACAATATTGCTTGCTCATTTTTGCAGCTTGTCTAGGTTGGCAACACTGTGAGACAATTCCCAGTTCAGTTTCACATATTCTTTTAATCTTCCCTGTAAAGGAAATGGTCATTAGAAAAGGGAAAGTTCCAACTCCCTAAGAGCTCTAAAGATGACAACTAAAGGATAACTTACCATAAGATCCAGTCATGTCTGGCAAGATAATTATCAACAGCTGAAGTTCTTTTCGAGGTAGATTCATGTTTGCAAGTTTTGCCCGAGATTCTCTATTAATATCCGCAAGGACTCTTTCAATCTGGTGGGGTTGACCATCACGTATAGGGAGTACTGGTTGCGGGTTAAAAGCCTGCAAGGAGATTAAAATTTGTTAAGGTGCAAATAATTTGTATCTCATAACATCACTAGAAAAGGATAAAAAAGAAAAAGAATATTCCATCACATGACAGTGCTCTGTCAGTAGATACCTACCATCCCTTTACTACTACACATCTGGACCAATTCGTCACAAAACTGATAAGTCACATTTCCATTCCACCTCCTCGAGAAGTTTACACACATCCAGGTATCCACTCTACCTCCATTGATCATTTTCTGTAGAGAAATAGCAAAAAGAAGAATTAATCATGCTCAAAATGTTACAGTAACAACTAAAGATAACAATGCGATGTTTGTTTTTCGAATTTTTCTTCACAAACCATCACTGCAGCGATGTATTGATTGCGCATCAGATGATGATTGTTAATTGATAATAGATGGTAGCTTACCTTGTTAATCATATTCCACTGTCCCATCGACGGACCAACCATTGCATCTCGACCACTTTCATGATATTTAAGCTGCAACAACGGCAAATATCAGCTGATGAAACTGGAAGAAATAGAATGCAACTAAAAGGTACAACAGCTTACCATTGGTGGTGGCAAAACACGAGCCTCAATGGAAGCAAGTTCATTTCTCACCGACATTCCAAATTCTTTTGTTAGAAGGAGTTCTTCGTCATACTTATTCCCATCAACCATCTGCACAAGCATGGGGTGGCTTAGCCTGGAAATTGCACTGAATAGAAGAACCTTATCAAAAGGATGTACAAATGAAGCCAGCCAACAATTCCTACCGCCCTGATACTCTTTTCCCTGTCATAAGGGCGTTGGCAGGTCGCTCTCAACAGAGCAGTTACTTGCCGTTCATTCAATCTCTTAGTGTACCTCTGCCCAGCAACAATACTACAAATCTGTAAACAGAAAAGTGAGACCTTTCATGACCAGAGCTAAATAAAGCAGACTTCTACGAGAGAATCTGAAAATCATCAAACAAAACCTCCATAGGTAAGAGGACAGGTTTGGTGTCACTTCCAGCTAGTAGTGTGGGCAACGATCCATATTGCAAAACTATATTGTATTTCTCCCGGAAGTATTTGACAACAAATTTCTCTGTTTTGCCGTCATCAAGCATAAACCTGATTGACCAAATACACATCATGAACATTTTGTAAAGCACAAAGATTACTATGAGAATCAAGAAGATAGGTTACAGTCCCTCAAGGTCACATTTATCACAGAAGAGTACAAGAGCATGTACTAGATTCAGGGAGGATTGTCATAATGTTACAATAGTCATGTCAATAGGATACCAAGTGTAGACATTTTGCTTAAAACTTAAAAAAATGAAAAGAAGTACCGCACCACGGGCAAAAAGTCCTTACTATCTCAAAAGTAAAACAAGTCAAAACAGTTCTTATGAGCCATCATCTCACATCAATGTTTCCTTCTTTTCTTTTTTACTTGACAAGTCACATCAAAGTTTTCCTGAAAAGAAACTTTCATAAAAAAAAGGCTGTCGACAATATGACAATGGGGGAGTTGTTCAAAGAACATTTACTTTGTTGGAAACATATAACTTAATGGTAACCCATCCAACATGGAGACTATTTTTGTCAATACATATGAAGCATTCCAGCACAGCAATTTTTGCCGCAAGAGAGGCAGATAAATATCTCAGGTTATCATGTTTTGCTCCAGATATATCAATGTCACACAAAATGTAAACGACAGAGTCTTCAAGATATAATCTTCTTTCCCAAATGCAAAATAAACTGTGAGCTACCATACATGCATTATAAACTAGGATAGAACCAGACAGAGCAATGCAAAAAGAGTCCTCACGTTGTTTGGCTCATTGGCTTATTTGACAATCCAGTTATCTTGTAAGATCTCCGATATCCTGTATGAGTGATTTCAACCCTAATTCCTCTCAAAGCCTTCTTCACCTAAGATCCCAAAAAGGGCAAGGTCAATGTCTAAATGGGAGAGATTTTCGTAACTCGCATAAGAAAAAACCATCACCAAATAACCATCCAAAGAGAAATTAAACAGAAATACCCCTCTGCCTCCACCTGAAACACACATACTCACCGACAGAAACCCACACATACAGGGAAAAATATGAAGAAAACAAATACCATTTCAGTTCCCGCAGATTTCACAGATATGTACTTCTTCCTTTTGCTTTTGTCCCTCGACACAATGCAGATGCATTCACAGGTTCTCAAAACTGTTCTTGTTTACGATTTCAACAAATAAAGTTTGCATAATTACGAATAATGAAAAAGATACTTGTAACAAATTGCTCGAACCCCACCAAACATATGTTAATCCAAGCATCAAATGACTTAATCAACTGAATTAGCTGCATATATTCCATACTTGAAATACATTATAGACGGGCTTTTGCCTAAGTAGAAGAGAAATCTCTTCTGCGAACCAGAAGATAGAGGACAAGATATTGATAACTTCTCTTATCTAAGATTACATAATGATCCCTAAGGCTGTCGAACAGCAAAAGAAAGGCATTGATATCAATTAAATCAATATGGGCTTCATTTGCAGATATTAAAGGTCATACCTTAATACGGTCCTGATCAGACAATGGCCTCGACAGATCTCGATAGTTGAAGTGTTTTGCAATAAACTCAGTAACAAGAATTGGCTCATAGAAAGCTCTAGCCGACACGTCTACAGCTCGAGAAAATCGCATAGAGTGAATCAGTACCATTCAGACAGATGTGCAAAATTGGCTGATGTACACAAGCAAAGATAACTGGCTGCTCAAGCGAAGTACCTATATTCAGAGAGAGCCCAAACTGTGTAGGTCTTAGAGACTGGTAGTATCCTCTCCAGTATTCTAAACCGTCACCGAGATCACCTTTATGCCCTAAATCAGGTGAGAAAAATGATCGTCCAACAACAGTATACCTGTGGTGATGAATTCAGCAAGTCAACAGATGGATAGATTGAGGAAGCAAAAGTACATGGTGCGCACAAGTTAACCCTAAAGAAGTAATGTATATGAGTTGCACGCAAAATTACTTTTCAGATGGAGAGGCCCTAAGGACCACATCAAGAACTTGTATTATCTCTTGCGGGCAATCTAATTGTCTACCCCGAATAAACTGCTGAAGATGATAAAGATCAGGCTTAGCGACCAGCGATATAGTCACCTTGAATTCACGGTCCTTCCTGCATGATGCCTCCAAATTAAAAACTAAAGAGTGGTCAAATGCTCATTTAGTGCCAAGACAATAAGGAAGCTTTACCTTCTCGATTGAGAAGAACTACCGGCAGCTTCATCATTTTCTACCAATTTAACAGAAAACACCTTGCTATTGAAAGGGAGGGGTCCTGCTGTGTAGAGACTCTTTCTCCCGTCATAGGCCGGCCTCCTACTACCCAAATGAGTCTCCCGATACTGTTTGACAAGAACACCTATTATCTCCCTATTGATTTTCTTGGAAGCAACCACGGGATCAATCGATACCTAAATACCAATGCCAAAAAAGATGTCAGCAAACTGAAACTGAAACAAAGTCAAGCTATTAAGACCCGAGGAATACCATAATATAAAAACCAATGAGAAACAAAAATGGGGACTATTTCATCAATCAGACGAAAACAACAATGAGCTGCATGAAACACCACAATACAGAAAGAGTGCAAAATAGACAAACACTCAAAAGGAAAAGTACATTGCTATGAGGAATTAAAATGCTAACCAGAAACAATTTGCTCAACAGAATCACATATATTAAGGGGGAGAAGTGAATGTAAATAGGAATTCTCCCATTCCTCGAAGAAGCGTTGCAGAACTTGGATAACAAAACCAAGACGACAAAGAACAGCGCACTGCTCAGGAAACATGATCAACATCCTAGTCCAAAAAATTAACTAGTAATAATTTCCAAAAAAATATCAATTCAGTGTCAGAAGATAATATCAGAAAATTAACAAGAAAAGTTTCAACTCAAAACTGGGTCGAACGATGGCGGAAAGATCACCACGAAAGCTCCTGGACCAGTCAACTAATCTAGGGCAAGTATCTCTGCAACCCGACCCCAAGTATCAACAAGAAAACAAAAAGAGACAGGTAAAGGGGAAAAATCCCAAACATCACGTAAAAGTCAAAAGAACAATCATCCAAATAATCGCTATAAAACAGATAAAACAGACGATATGACAAAAAAGAAGAAGAAGCAGACAACAAAAACAAAGAGAGATCCTGAAATGGCTCATGATCCGTGGACTGAGCTTGGAGGACCAGCAAAATGTCCGAAACGTAAGACAGGAACATATGATGAAGGGGAAAAACACCGTGACAAGAGCTCAACTACGCAGATGAATCCATCAAGGAAAAGAGAGAGAGCAAAACAATGACCCAGAAAACAAAAAAACAGCATGCAGTGAAACCCACACATACACCTGCTGGTAATGGCCAAGACCGGCACAAAAACAGGACGGTTTCAGCAAGATGACGAAAACTTTCACCAAATAAGACGAAGGAGGAGGAGATGCATTACGTCATAGTGGTGGAGATCCATGTCCGCTACTTGAACTAGAAAGTGGTTCGCTCGAACCACGCACTTTTTCCCGAGCGTTCCGAAGCCGGGCCTCAGCGGAAATCTTTCCCCCTTCGACGAGAGGGGCGGCGGCGAAGGAGCCTGCAATGTGAGCCGCTGCTCGAGCTCGCCGCTCAGAGAAACATCCGGAGCCGGCGCGACAGGGGTAGCCGCCGAACTTGATGCTCCGCCAGAAGAGGCAACAGCCGGTCGAGCCGGAGAAGGAGACGGAGCGGGAGCGGGAGCGGGAGCCGGAGCGGGGGCCGGAGCGGGAGCTGCAGCGGGAGCCGGAGCCGGCTGTGGAGGCGGACGGTGGCCAGGACCGCCGGCGGCGCCAGCGGCGGCGGCGGCGTAGCCTCTGCCTCGACCGCCACCTCCTCCACCACCTCTTCCTCCTCCGCGCTGGAAGGACGGGGCCGGCTGCTGATCGCCGCGAGAGTCCGATCGCCTGCCTCCTCCGCGGCCGCGGCCGCCGCCGCCGCCGCCGCCTCCTCCACGGTGTGACATTTGGTGGAGGGAACAAGAATCAAGGAGAGATGGGCGATTCGAGAGAGGGGAATGCGGTTGAGGTACGCACCGTACCGGCGAGCGAGAGCGAGAGCGACGAATGTGTCGAGTGATACAATGCCAGAAGCGCCGGAGCAGAGTGATATTTATATATAAAATGGAAAAGAAAATTTAGGGGAGAAAAAATCGGAGGACTAGGCCGCTAAGGAAAGTGACGTGGAGCTAAAGCCACTTGAATTCCCAGGCTTTGCGGGAAAATTTTGGCCCACGATTTTGCCTAATAAAAATATTCTTTTCTTTCCTGACCAAATAAATTCATTTATGTATATTTATATATAATTTTTCCGCCTAACAGATAGATATTCATTTCTTTCCTGACCTATAAGTAAACTTACGTATGTGTAATAGGACGTGTCACGAAGTTTAGCCGAATCTCACTTCAATCAATCGTGTCACTGTTAAATTCCAATCTCGCTCAAAGAGTCAAGTAAGAAAATCGGAATTTAGAGTTTACATCGTGGGGAAACAGAGCCCACGTCGAGTTTCCTGATTGACGGGATACAAGTCAGGTCACGACGAACTTATCGCCACACAATTGCCTAGTTCGAACCGGTAAATATGAAATATCTAAGCAGCGGAACCTGCGTACATATACAAGCCAAAACACAAGCTTGAAAAAAGTAATTTCGTTACGATACGTCGGTTGATCCCGTGCTCTCTCGAGGGTTCTAACCACTCCTCTGAAATCCGCACTTGTTCTCGGGTGCGGTGCTTTCTTGACAAACTCATCGCGAGAGATCCCATGGTAGGCGTCGAAGAGACAGAGCGCTTTGTCATCTGGTGACCAACGCTGCGCTCCTCTGACGCGTTTTGGTTAAAAATATGTCATGATAAATTTTATCTTTCGAAAGATCGCGATGCGTGAAAGAGTCTTTTTAATCTTTGAGCCCGCATACAGACAAATTCAATAGGGCGAGATGGATAAGCATGACTACGGAATTTTTACGGCGAAAAGATAGGATATATAGGCATGGTTTTCAAAACAGAAATTTTTACTGATTACGGACGGACTCTATCGGGCACTTTGGGTGTAGAAGAGTCGCTGAATAAGGAGAGAGGAGTAGAGCTAAAGTCTCTCCGACGGTGGACGGCGAGGGCATTATGGGGAATCCGGGAAAATGTGGGGGGGGGGGGGGGGGGGGCCCACCAAGTCAAACCCCCCCCCCTCCCTCCCTCCCTCCCTTAAGCCACCTGGCCGCCCGTCTCCCCCGATCTCGACACGTGTAGCGCCCAACTGACGTCGAGGATCGCGCGCGGGGGCCCACCTCCCCACGACACCCGGAACGATTGATTGCTCGCAGCAGTCGCAGCTTCCCATGACGTCTGGTCGTGGCGGCGGGCCGATGTTGGCAGAAAAATCGGAATTTGCGTTTATTTGAAATTTCCCCGAAAAAAAAAAAGAAGAAGTGGAGGTTAAGGCTAAGCGACCGAGCCTTTTTGAAGCGATTAAGATAAGATTAAAGATGGGCCTTTCTTTTCTTTTCTTTTCTTTTCTTTTCTTTTTTGGGGTCGGAAAAGATGGGTCTTTAGAGACATCTGCGTACGTACAGCGTCATCCGGCCAACCCGAGACGGTCTCTTTTGTTTCACTTTCATTTATTTTTTTTGGCCACTTTGGCTTTCCTTCCGGGTCCCTCAGGATCGCCAATTCTTTCTTTTTTTAAATTCGATTTCGAATTTACGTGCGTGCGAAGAAATTGGTACGGGTTGGACTGACACGAGACGAAGAAGGTGGCGCGAAATGAAGGGTCACGAGAGAGAGAGAGAGGGGGGCCCGGGGGGAACCCGGAATTTAATATTTAGGGTTAATATAATGAAAACCTCCGGCCTAATATATATTGTGATAAATTTATTTTAAATTAAATTTTTTATCATTAAAAATTTCAAATCGGTACATATGTGGTAAATTTATCACAAATTAATTTTTTTATTACCAAAAACTCCAAACTGATGCATTTGTGACAAATTTACCTTTCTTTAAATTGGATTAATATAAAAAAAATCACAAAATAGTACATATGTAACAAATAGAGGATAAAACTCTAAACTAGTACATCCATTAATTACCATGTGTCATTTAACTCAACAATTTGATAGTAAAATTTAACGGAAACTAACAGAGGGTACTAATTTGGGGTTTTTTGTGGTCAAAAAATTAATTTGGGGTAAATTTGTCACGGGTGTATCAGTTTGTAATTTTTTGTGGTACTAACCCTAATATTTACGAATTACTCTGTTGAGATTTTTCTTAGTAATTGTTTTCCAATATTTGACAAGCAATAAAAAAAAATACTATAGGTTTCGACGTGCACGTTTTTTTTTTTCACGTCGCTTGTAATTTGTATCTTAAAACTCCTATTGTTTCATGAAAAATGAATGACTTAGAAAATGATTCCTAAAAATGATTGCTCGTTTCGCTTGAAATAATTAGTCAATGGAAAATATGTTTTCATTATCGACAATAATTTATATCTAAACATATTCGTGCACAATAAAATTATTTTTCGTTCATTTTTTGTAAGCGATACGAACAATTAGTTCTTAGAAAAATATTTTTCAAATTATTCAATTTTCGCGAAACAAACGGAGCCTTACATTTACAGTATATTCCTTAGCTATACTTAACGAGTGCTTAATAAATATAGTCGCAGTTCGTCGAAGACAACAATCATATCTTCTCTTAAGCTAGCAATGACTAGTGTCGATGCATGTGTTACGCGTGTGCATGAGCATCACGAGAAAATAGGAATCGGATTTTGATAGGATTGACTAGATATTGGATACATCCTAAGTAGTCATTAAGTATGTGTAAATCCAGTGATTACTTCTTTAAAAGATTGTAGTGGGTAGTTTTGATTTTTCGTTCAATGGTAGTTTTGGAAAGCAGAAGGGGAGATATAGCTGGGCACGGAGACCCAACTATTCAAAAGTTCATGAAATACCTTGCAAAGTCTATGAACCTGCTTCGCCATAATTTAATCGATAACGAATCGAGTTTTCACCACATTAGATGGAGACGGATTTTGTGCCGGCTCATATATGAGTGTCAATGGATCACAAGGAGCGATGATGATATTCTGGGACGATGGCTAAAAGATTTTTTGTCAGAGTTTGATCAACAACGAGAGATCTTGAGACTGTAGGTAAGAAGGAAATTAAGGATAATTGAAAATTTGCATTGCTAAAGGATAAGAAGGTTTTTGTCATTATTGTGGGGGGCTGGCAATGAACACACTCGGAGTATTTTAAACTTGCTACGGTTACATACAAATGTTACTAGATTTTATATATATATAACTTCGTAGTGGTTACAAGAGGTTACACAATTTACTCCGTAATCTCCTATTATCTGGTAATAATCTATTTATGAGAAATTAAAACAATTCTAAAATAGTGGTAATAGATATAACCACCCAATAGCTATTCTTGTGTCAGTTGCTCACTATCAATATCTATGAGTTCGTCAATAAACTTTAAGGTTCTCATTGATAACTTTCACGTTGCGTGTCACCAATGACTTCATTGGCGAGTTGTTAATTATTTTCAAGTTACTGATATTTCTGTTTATAAACAACTAAACTCTGCTCGCATCGACCAAGTCTATTCCATGTCAATAATAACAAAAAGTTTTTCTTTTTTTGGTGTAAACATAACCGATTAAGTACACACCTTCGCTGATAATTGAGGGACCAACATTCAAATTGGTCTTTGCTGATGGCCCAGTAAATTTTTTAGTAAAGGACTCGAATACCGGATCGAGGTCTTTCAAAAAAGAGCTGCCACATTTTTTCCCTTAGGCTCCATTTTTTTGCGGAAGATGAATAATTTGAAAAATATTTTCCCGAAAAGATCGTCTGTACCATTTGAAATAATTAATTGGTCAAAATTATTTTCATTGTCGACGATAGTTTATGCCTAAACAGTTTCATGGACTATGAAAAAAATCTTCGTTCATTTATTTATTTTTGTAGGTGATATAAGCCATCTTTTTTAAGAAATTTTTTTCAAAATTATTCATTTTTCGCGAAACAAATACACCAATAGCAAACAGTGGATTTCTTGCGTTGTTAGACGCAAGGAATGTGAATATCAAGTCCTTGCTTGCTGCACTTCGATAAAATCGCAGGTACACCGGATTATAAATCTTTTACTCATATGAATATAGAACTATGAAAACTCGTGTTTATATGAATATAAAATTATCTTTAGTACTAAATGGGAAATTCTCGTATGGAGTCGGTCTATCACAAGACAGATGAAACACGCGTCTTCGATAAAAATGGACCTCACGTGAATTCCATGATATTAACAATCGAGATTCATTCGATTTACACGAATTGAATTTAAGCAATAATATTCCATCGTCTCATCCATTTCTTTTGTTCATTGTTATGTGCTAAAATACCGGTGTTTAATTAAGAGCGAGTATATGCCAAAAAAAAATTTAGAGCGCATAGATTGACTTCCTACGACGATAATGTGAAATACCTTTTGGCTGCGTTTGGTCGTCCAGATTTCTAAACAGGATAGGACTAGATAGGATAAGATAAGAAATCCTTGGATTTCTTCATATCCTATCCACTGTTTGGTGGACTACGGATTTAAAGTCGGATAGGATAAATTTTTTTTTTTTTTGCTATTCACAGATTCGGAGGAGTCGGTGAAGGAAAAAAAGCCGAAAATTTTTTTTGGTGAAAGCGCACAAGGTGTGGGGATGAAGATGACGGTGAGTGGAGCATAAGGTTTCTGAAAAAATAGACATTAGAAATCCTATCCAGGTATATCCCACCTCCCCCCTCGGATTTTTTTATCCGGGCTATATCCGGTCTATATCCGACCTTATCCTATACTGGACCACCACCAAACACAGGATAGGATAAAACATATCCTATCCTGACTTTTATCAGGTCGATCAAACGCGGCCTTTATTCTTAGTAGTCCGTATATGGAGTGGAAATACACAATTGCATAGTCTTTGACCTGTCCTCTCGACTAACTAAAGGTTTTCTTTTTAATTCAACGGTGAAAAAGATTTGTGCGTTTGAAAAAAAAAAAAGATGAAGCTTTCCGACAT